AAATCTACAAATCATAACAGGTATTATGGGAGAAAGGCGATAAAGTCCAGCTATGCTCATATTAGACAAAAAGAAAAACCTGACAAATGGTAGAGGAAAGGTAGCAGTGCAACATCAATAACAAAACCAAATGAAGGAACTGAAAATTATCCAAAATGGGGTGACAAATCTGCACTCATTTTACCTGCAATGTATTTATTGTTGGGAATGAAGAACCTTCTTTCTGAACCCAGTCCATCATTTTCCAGAAGTGAAAAGTTAGTCATACACTATCAGGAGCTAGACAGACATCAGAAAAAAGATCTTCCTTTCTACCAAAGTTAAAAACAAAAAAAAAACAAACAAAAACCTTCTTTTTTTTTTTTAAGATAAGTTGAAGCAATAAAGAAAATGAAGTGTTTTAAGTCTTGTGCCTATTTCAATGGTAACAGGCAGGGGCTGATTACTCAATAAACAAGGTACCCACCGGCTTAACTGTGTTTACTTACTAACCTGTAGTGCACAATTTCACATGGGTTTCACTAAATCAAAGATGTGGTGAAAAACAGGTGAAATTGTGCAGTACAGATTAGTAAGTAAACACAAGTAAACCTGTGCATATCTTGCTTATTGAGTAATCTGACCCTGGTAACAGGGATTATCTAAATGGTATTGAAGAAGGGTTATCAGACTTTAAATGTGCTTGTTTTGGTGAACAGAATGAAGCAATGCAACCAGAAAGATACTGACTAGTGGCCCAATTTTGTAGACTGCATATTTCCCCACGCTATTTACATGTTTCAGAAAACCTAATGGATGTTTGATGCAATGCATAATGCCCAGCGGCTGTACTCAGGAAAAGCAATAGCAACATTAGTGAATCTCATGACAGCCTATTTTATCACTTCCATAAAGTTGTGTCCCATGTGTAATCACCAGGACTTCTAAGCCACCAAAAAACTCTGAACTGATAAGGACAGGTCATTTGCTTTGTGGAAGAGAATTACCTCAATCCCCAAAATGGAATACATTAAATTATACAGAATCCTACGTTGCAGGAGAAGTTATCCTTGCTTTAAAAAATATGTGTGTGTCCTTAAAACATGTATGTGACTTATAGTTAAGTGGGTGTACCTCCAGTTTAGAGAACTCAGCCAGTAGTTAGAGAAACAGGAACAAAGTCTAGGTCCCAGAAGCAGTTACTAATGGGCTAAGCAAGGGATTAGGGCCATCTCCAAAGGGAGAAGAGTTCAAGACAAGACTTCAGTGCAATGAAAGAACCAGAGGACACTTAGGAAATCAAGCCAATCAAGGAATGGGCAAAAATGGAGAAGACTGAGGCTAAGATTTCAGCTTGCTGGGCCAAGAAGATGCTTAAATGTACCTACCCCATATCAGGCTTAGTCAAGATTTATCCAGGCACAAAACTGATACAGAATAGGACCCCTAAGCAACAGCCAGTCTTGGTTATGAGTAAGATGGTAACTTTGCCTGCAGAGTAAGTAGCTTTGGTACCTGTATCAGAGTGAATCTGCAAAGGCCGGGACTGACATCATCTATCCATAGCAGCCCAAACCTGCTCCTCCCAGCCCTACAATACAAACATGATATTGTAGAATACCTCTGAATCATTTCCAGAATTAACAGTCTGCTCATAAAAGTAACAGCTCAGCAGACCCTTAGTTACCTTTCTGACCTCATTGACTCATGCACCCTAGGGCCTTTGAACTTACCTGTTCCTTCTGGCTGGTACAAGCATCCACCATATCTTCAAATGGTTGGTTCCTTCCTGTCATACAGGCTCAGACATCGCCTCCTCAATGATCAGGACTTTTCTGATCATCCTTCCCAAACTACACTGTTCTCCCGAAGACATTAATCACATCACATCAGAGGTCTTATCAAAATCTGAAAGTATCTTGTTGGGTGTTTTAATTTGCTCACTCAAATGACACATGCACAAGGATTTTTCTTGTCATTCTCTGAATCTCAGAATTTACAGCATGGTAGTGTTGAATGAATAAATAAATAGTAAGCATTCTTCTCTTGAGAAAATCTATGCCTTAGGTTGATGAAGTTTCAACATACAAATACAGGAGACATCAATGAATTTTAGTCTCTGCCAAGCAGCAAGCAGCAGCCTGACCATCTTATCAGAGTGCACGTGGGTGAGAAGGGAAGCCAGGGAACTTCACTAAACAAGGTCTCTCCCCGTGGAACCAAAAATCAAAGTTAGTTGTGACCAGCGAGATGGATTACCAGTAAAAGGCCTTTCCCCCCGCACCCCCCCACCCTCAGTTGCAATTATTTACAGTGGATTTTTTTTTTTAACTGACCAACTATTTAGTTGACAGAGCTGTTTTTTCATCTCGAGGCCTGTTTTTTAAAGATGTTCTTCATTTTAATGACAATTTTCGTGACGATCTCCTTGACTGTCTGTGGCATCCCAAACTACACATTTCCAAGTAATGTGAGTTATAGGGCATTGGGAACAAGACAGGACTGGGGATTAGGAAACCCAGATTATAAGGCCCTAAATAAGTCCCACTTATTTGTTCAACAAAAGTTTAATGTAAGCCAGCGCTATTCTAATTAATTCAAATAGTGAATAGGGCGGACAAAGTTTCTGTCCTTGTCTTCCATTCTATTGGGGGAGGGGGCAAGGAGGAAGCATAGGGGGAGGGAAATACACCCACTTCTTACTTACTCACTATCTCGTTATCCAATATTTTGTATTTATGACAATAGTAAAAAATCTACCATCTGACTATTTTGACCATTAATGAAGTACATCTGTCAGTAACAAATGCTGAGGTGTGAGGCGAGAAGGACGCTGGGGTTATCTGTCAACTTGGCTGGGCCACGATTCTAGTGGTTTGGCAGTTACATAATGTAATGTAATGATGTAATTTGGCAATTATGTAATGATGTAGTCATCCTCCATTTTTGCATAGTGCTGATTTTCCCATAACGACTTGGTCTTTGGAACCTAACCATGTCCATAAGTGAGGAGTGGGTGTAATAAACAACCTCCTCCAGTCTATAGTTTTCTCCCCTAAAAATAGGTGGCATTAGACTAGATAATCTCTAGCTTCTCCCAGCTTTACATGCTCTGAAGAGAGGAAAGAAAATTTGGAAGGCTTAGTGATGATTTCTGGGGAGTAAAATCATGGATAATTTTAAAATTTTTTCTTTTTGTTTATCATTGTTTTCTGAAATTTCTTCTATAATGAACATGTATTACATATGAAGTGGGAATATGTTTAAGAAAAACAGTAGAGGATATTTTACTATCAATCCCAGGCATTGTTTCCTAGTGGCCTAAAGGTATGTTATACATCCATCCTTTGGCTCTGCACTCTATTTTTCCATCTAGTAAATGGAAACTCTCCTATTCCTCTAGTGACTGACTTATTGCTTTACATTTCCCTAAAGAGGCTTTGGGGAAACTGCCAAGGGAAATTTTCTGCTCCTTTTCTCATTACCTCTGTGTATACTGGCCTCTTCTCTTTTCCTTGAATACTTGAAACTCTTCACTAACTTGGGATGGTGAGGCACATCTCCTGGATATCACAATCTCTCTCTCTCTCATACACACACACACACACACACACACACACACACACACACACACACACACACACGGCCTCTTCTCACCCTTCAACAGTCACACCTCAGCTTAAACGTTACCTCCTAAGAGAGACCTTACCTGAGCACACTAAATGTAACAATTTCATTCCTACCTTACCACCCTCCATTTAAAAAAAAAACAAAAAAAAAAAACAGTTGCCATGAGTCAGTTACTACTCCTGGAAACCACCCACCATTCATCTCTGGTATTCTCTATCATATCTCTATCCTGCTCTTTTCTTCTAGAGCACCCTTGTTGTTGTAGATTGAATTATGTCCCCCAAAAAATGTATGTATCAATTTGGCTGGGCCATGATTCCCAATATTGTGTGGTTGGCCTCCATTTTGTGATTGTTATTTTATGTTAAAGAGGATTAGGGTGGGATTGTAACACCCTTACTAAGGTCACATCCCTGATCCAACGTAAAGGGAGTTTCTCTGGGGTGTGGCCTGCACCACCTTTTATCTCTTGTAAGAGATAAAAGGAAAGGGAAGCAAGCAGATAGTTGGGGACCTCGTACCACCAAGAAAGCAGTGACGGGAGCAGAGCGCATCCTTTGGACCTGCGGTCCCCGCGCGGAGAAGCTCCTAGTCTGGGGAAAGATTGATGAGAAGGCCGACAGACAGAGAAAGCCTTCCCCTGGAGCTGATGCCCTGAATTTGGACTTCTAGCCTACTTTACTATGACGAAATAAATTTCTCTTTGTTAAAGCCATCCACTTGTGGTATTTCATAGCAGCACTAGATGACTAAGACACTTGTCAACTTGAACTTTCATATGTTTTTCATTTCTGTACAAGCTTATTGTCTATTTCCTCCACAAGTCTAAACTTGTATCATGAAGACAAGAAATGTCTATTTTGTTCACTGCTATATCCCTAGAGTTTAACACAGTACCTAGCACGTTACAGGCACTCAACTAATATTGGTTGATTAAATGAATACATGAGTGAATAAATGGGGTCCTTTGTCCTCTCTCCATCAAGAGTTCATTCCCATGCAGTGGTGTGCTGCAGCCAGCTCTTTACTTGCTAGTGAGAGCCAATTGTTAAATTTTTAGGAAACGTGCAAGCCAGCTCTTAAACTGTTGCTAGCTTGAAATTGGCCATGGGGAAAGTATTCACACCGTGGACATTGGCAAATGTTACATATCAAAGAGCTAGTTTACTACTGCTCCTATCTTCTAAATCCAACTGTAAATATTGAGATATCATGACAAAAATCATGTCCTATAACTTAAAGTCTTTTAATAAAAAAATTCTTGAAATTAAAAAAAATACTAAATATATGCTATACAATTGTTGCAAATATTTGGTCCTCTTATAAACTAAATTATGATCTAGATCTAAATTATGATCTGATCCCCTAAAATTATTGTTTTTGCTTTTCAGATCCTTATGTGAAGATTCATCTGATGCAGAATGGCAAGAGGCTGAAGAAGAAAAAGACAACAATTAAAAAGAACACACTTAATCCCTACTACAATGAGTCATTCAGCTTTGAAGTACCTTTTGAGCAAATCCAGGTAATGTCAAACATAATTTTGTCTTCCGATTCAATTTCATTCCTTCAGATCACATAAATTATACACACAGACCTTGTAAATTATCTGTGCATATGCTTTCATTAGGAATGCCGTCCTTATTTCCATGCACATTTGATGCTCGAGCTACATCAAGAGGGAAATGATAATATATACAGCCAGGGTGTGCTGATTCATCAGCCAGAAACAGCTGGCATCTTCTGTTCAGCAGAAATAAAGTAGGAAAAAGAAAATCAACAGAACAAGTCTGCTAACTACAGAAGTGTAGCCACAGAAGTTAAAATGCCAAGAGAAAATGAGCTTTAACTAAAGACTGCAGCTGAGCTTTTAACACTGGGCCACCAGTGCTCCAGGGCCTACCCTGATGACCTTATATTAATCTATTACATCTCCAAAGATCTCATTTCCAAACAAGGCCACATTGACAGGTACTGGGGGTTAGATCTTCAGCATATATTTTCGGGGGACACACCTCAACCCGTAACAGTAGGCAGTGTTTCATTCTGTTGTACACAGGGTCATTATGAGTCGGGAACAACTTGATGGCACCTAACAACAACAATCTAACAATAAGATTAAAGCAATTTTTAAATCAGTGTTGTCTAATAGAACTTTCTATGATGATGGAAATGTTTTATCATCAACCCATCCAATATGGTGGCTACTAGAGGCAGGTGGCTAATGAGCACTAGAAACGTGGCTAATGTATAGAGGAAATGAATTTTAAAGTTCATTTAATTTTAATTTATTTAAATTTAAATTTAAACAGCCACATGTGGCTCGTAGCTATTGTACTGTATTATCATAATTTGAAATGATCAAAAATCACCTATACCGTATTTTTTACACAAATAACGAGCACCTTCTATGATTGTTTGTCAACCACTCCTTTCCTCCCCTTTTGTCAGTACTCTATGCTGATTTTTTTTACAGCAACACATAAAAAAAAATTGGCATAGCGGCACTTATGAAAATACCTCGAGGAGGGGAGGGAGCGGTTGGCAAACAAATGTAGTGGGTATGTTTTATTTGCGTGAAACTATGGTAATCCCACCATCCTCAAATAGATTTATGTTTTTTATGCAACTTTTCTCATATACACCTTGATGTGGTGTATTGTACGTGCTGTTTACTTTTAACAACTGTTATATAAGTAACTGACATTGAAGAGGACACTGCTTCCCTGTCCCTGATTACTTGTTTACTAGCCTGAATCACTGAACCCACTGCTTAGGACCCACTGGCAAAACCCTAAGGTATCTAATTTTGTCCAGTAATTTACTTTGCAATATTTGTTCAGTGAAAACTCTTGAGTTTTAAGACCTGGATTCTATGGAAACTAACGCCTCCTGGCATCTTATTTTTAATTCTGCAGAACAATATAAGGCAGAGCATTGAGATGAAAAATCCTATTGTAAAGCTTCTTCTTTGAGTAAAACTTCTATATCTTTTTAAAAATAAATATCCTTTTTCAACTATAAATGACATCAGATGTGACTATATTGACAATGAAACACATTAAAAACAAGACATATGTTGGGTTTCTGGGGCAGCATTTTGGAGATAACATTTTGTCAGGACAGAAAGAACCTTGGAGTACATTAGGCATGGAAAAAATGAAAAAGTGTTTGCTTGCCTCCTTTTCTGCTCATTGAATCAATCTCCCCACCCCAGGAGGCTGCTTACCTAATCTTGCACTTTTTTAGAGAAAGAAATTGAGCATTTCACATGCTATAATGGGGGTTTAAATTTCCCCCATCCTGAGGTTATAGGATTATCTGATCTTCCTTCTGTCTTTCTTTATCCCTAAGAAATGTATTATGACAGAAGCAAAATATGCTGATTTTCAAAAGCACATGAAAGTGTTGCCCCTCTAAATCTGTATATAAATAAACTACGTATACAGCTGGAAAAATTAATCCAAAACCTTCACAAGGATATTTTTTCTTGAGTGCTACTAATCAATGCATTCCAAAATAGAATAATCAAAACTCATTCCAAACTCTGAAAATCCCTGTTACGTTTGTGTATAGTGTCCCCTACACACACACACACCCCCCATTCCATGTAGTGTGATTACATCCTGATGAATTGCTTAGGAAAGTTCTGAAAGCCAAGATGATCCTAGTCTCAGTTCCAAATACCATCTAGCAGGTATGTAATTCCCTTGATAATGGAATCAGTCCAACACTGCAGTAGAGAAGATGGGCGTTAGTCTGCTTTATTATCAGTGTATTGTGGTTTACATTCTAAATTTCACTTTCAGAAGTGATCATTTTCTCTGTTCTGAGAGCTGTACATCAGTGACATTTCTCAGCACACTGGCGCAATAATGCAGTCCTCAGAGTACAAAGTCCACTAAAGGGCAATAATTCAGCGGGATTTTCATCTGGCCCTGGGTTTTATAATTATGTTTTCTGTTCCTTTTAACTCTGGCCACCAAATATTATGCATTCTGCTTTATTTTAAACACTTTCTCTATCCTTGCACTCAATTTCTAGATTGGAACCATCACATATTCTGACTAAGCAAATTCATTACTTAGGAAGCAGAACTAAAATGTGCTTTTAAAAAGTGTTTCTTTCACACTATCACGGTATGGATTTTCTTTCGTACAGTGTGTTAGCTATCTAGTGCTGCTATAACAGAAATACTACAAGTGTGTGGCTTTAACAAATAGAAATTTATTTTCTCACCATTTAGGAGGATAGAAGTTCAAATTCAGGGCGCCAGCTCCAGGGGAAGGCTTTCTGTCTCTGTAGACTCTGGAGGAAGGTCCTCGTCTCTTTTGAGCTTCTGCTCCTGGGAGATCTTCATATGCCTTGGCATTTCTCTTCCCCCATCTCTGCTTGCCGGCTTGCTTGTTTAATCTCTTTTATATCTAATCCTGCCTCATTAACATAACAAAGAATCCATTCCCATATGAGATTGTAACCGCAGGCATAGAGGTTAGGATTTACAACACATAATTTGGGGGGACATAATTCAATCCATGGAGCCCTGGTGGTGCAGTGGGTAAGCATTCGGCTGCTAACCAAAAATTGGCAGTTCAAATCCACCAGCTGCTCCTTGGAACCCCTATGCGGCAGAGTTTAGTCATTTCAAAAAGTATTTAATAAACCCTCACAGCCTGATGGAACACTGAAGTATAATCTTGTGTGGCCTAAAAGGTCATGTTGTCAGTGACAGATACACAGTAGCTACTCAATAAATGTTTTTTGAAAGAATGGATGAATGAGAAAAAATATCTTTTTTTAATTACTACTTTTTAAAAGACTTTATATTGTCACATTTTATACTCACAATAATCATTAGCTGAAATTGTATACAGTATTGTTTTTATATAAAATGCTGGCTTGAAATGGGATTGCTGTACCTAATTGCTTTGGGAATTATAACCAAAAAAAGAATGGTCTGAGTACCAGTGCCAGAAATTTCACATCTGAAATAGAAATGGATTTAGAGGTTAACTCAAGTTGACACCAGTAGCATTACATGGTGGTTTACAGCAAGGGCTCTGGAGACCAAACCACCTGTCACTCATTCTCTGTATGACCTTGGGCAGGTTACTTAATTTCCCTGAGCTTAGGCATACTCATCTATAAAATGGCAATATTAATAGGATCTATTGTGAGGAGTAACTGAGTTAGTTCATGTAAAAGACTTAGAATAGTGCCAAGTATATGATAAAAATCAATACGGTTGAGTAGTTTGATGATGATGATGGCTAAATAGGAATTGGACTCAGGTTTTCATATTCATTTTCAGCTTTGTCCCAGTAATTAGAGATTGATTCTTCTTATTTCCCAATTCCTTGGATCTCAGGGAAGCTGGCTGATTAATGTTTCTTCTGTGTCCTTTTCCAGAAAGTACAAGTGGTGGTAACTGTTTTGGACTATGACAAGATTGGCAAGAACGATGCCATCGGCAAAGTCTTTGTGGGCTACAACAGCACTGGCGCGGAGCTGCGACATTGGTCAGACATGCTGGCCAACCCCAGGCGACCCATTGCCCAGTGGCACACTCTGCAGGTAGAGGAGGAAGTTGATGCCATGCTGGCAATCAAGAAGTAAGGGAAAGAAGAAGCCTTTCTGAGTCTGCCCACATAGTGCTCTTTAGCCAGTATCTGTAAATACCTCAGTAATATGGGTCCTTTCATTTTTCCAGCCATGCATTCCTAACACAATTCAGTGGTACTTCAAATCCTGTTTTAATTTGCACAAATTTAAATGTAGAGTCCCTAAGCCTTTCATCATATCACTGCCCTCCAAATCTACTCTTCTTTTAAGCAATATGATGTGTAGATAGAGCATGACTGAAATTATTTATTGTATCACACCGTTGTATATACCAGTATGCTAAAGATTTATTTCTTGTTTGTGTATTTGTATGTTGTGTTTCCTAATCTGTGTATATCTAGATGTTTTTAATAAGATGTTCTATTTTAAACTATGTAAATTGACCGAGATATAGGAGAGCTGAAAATATATTATATGGTAAATATAGTATCGTCTGCATTCCAGCAAAAATATCAACTTGTAAGGCACTAGCACAGTTCAACTGACATCTTAAAGGACAACTTAAACCTGAGCTTTCAGTTGAATCATTTGAGTACCAAGATGTGCTTACACCACATGTTTGGTGGGTGAATCCAATTTTGTAGAATTCCTTCACAGGCAAATTAGCATGATCTGAGAAGCATCTGGGCTGACCTCAAGGAAGCAAAGCCACAAACCAGAACAGCATCTGTCTGTACATATATACAAAGCTAAAACCATGGCTTCACTCTAACATTTGAGGAAGCAATCTAATGGGAGGCAATGATTTCATATTATTGCATATAGAATAACAGGATGATGGTGTTCTCTGTGTGTGTATGTATGTGTGTGTATAGGCGTGTGTGTGCACGCACACGTGTGCGTATATCTGCATTTGTTTGGGGATAGGGGGTGGGTGGAAAGAAGCTAAGGGGAGAAGTCAGCATTTCTGAAATATTGCCTGACTGTTAAAAAAGAAAAAAAGTAGCTCTCCGTTATCACCTTTATACAAAACATGCATCCTGTGAATTTCTGGTCCAGATTTCACACTGATACAAATTCTAAAAGGTTTGCACGTTAGACTTTATAACAAAATATTTTATTATACAAAACCAGATTAGAAGGAATGCAGAATATTTTTAACACAGCAATCTGTGCTTATTACACAAAATTACTTTGTGGTAAACAGTATTGTAATCCCATCAAAAGATGAAAAAAAAAAATTAGCCATAGTTCTGAATGCACTTCAATTAAGCCAAAACAGACAGCTAGTGATCTTTTTATATGCTCTTTTTACTTCAATAAGTTTTAATTTGTCCTTTAAAAAAAAGGTGAAACAAAACCAAGAACAAGTTCTAGAAAACTGAAGCAACCTCTTATGTATATTAGATGCTTGATTTAGGAGGAGTTTTTAAATGTTTTCAATGTTATTCTGTAGTAAATGGCACTATTATGAAGCTACTAGTCATTCCATAAGAGTCTTAAAGGACTGCTCTGTGTAACACTGTGACGCTGTGTGTGCTTAGAAACCTAGTTTCCTCAGTGGATAGCACTCAATTTATTCCGTAGTGATCTTGTAACAATACTGCCATTCCCTCTAATGCACTGCCCAATGTGTGTAGCACAAACAGTTCTCGTTACAAAGGACCAATTCAGAACTGAAAAGCTATGCATAGGACAAGAAAGATACATAGAATGGGGTGGAACACACAGCATTTTTGTCAAGCACTGTGCGATATGCCATATTTTTCCCCACTATGGTAGGCAACCACTTTATGAAAGGGCAGCCTATTATACACCACACCACATCTAGTCTTTTTTTTCCCGCTTGCTTCTCTGACACACTTTAACTCCTAGGGCAGAGAGTGGTGATGCTTTGAAGGGAAAGTTTATCTTCACAAACACCAGAACAAAATGGAGGGAAACTAAGCATTGGTCTCCTGTTCAGACTTTAGGATATCACGCCACATTTTTTAAAAACTCAAAGAGAATTAAAAAAGGGCTGACAGTAGGCTTCGAATACGGGGTTGGCTGTTTCCTGATAAAACAAGAATTCCTGTCATTATTCTTTCCTCATCAAAGAAGAGGCAAGCCCTTTGGTCTTTTGGCCCAGTTGTGGCAAATTCTTTAGAACTGGGACACATACAAAGAACAAAGGTGAATAACATCTCCCTCTTCTGTCGAGGATCCATACTTTTTTCAAACGTAGATAATAGGAAATGCACAAGTCATAGTGTGAGATTAAATATCAGTTTTAACAGAAAAATTCAAACAAGATTCTTTCCAGTTTAAAGGACCAGACCCTACCAAAGAGAGGGACTTGACTAACTTTTCAAAAGTCCTTAAATATCAGAAACTGAAATTTAATTTCACCATATTCAGCTTTAAGTTGTCCACACTGATACACCACTTTTAAACAAGCAGGGTGAAGCTGCCGAATACACATTATTTCTTGCATCAAAGCACTATTAATGCATTCTCTTGCAACACTGCCAAACCTGGGATTGTCACCATCGACTTAGTTGTTAGTATGCTATCTTTCATGAGTCAGTGACTGAACCTGCTGTATGACCAAGATTCATCCTCAGATGAGTCCCATGTACCTTTCTGACAAAGCTGTGTGAAGTATTAGCATCTGACGCTCTAGAAAGATCCTAGTTGCCTTTGTGTATATTTACTGCCTGCTTGAGTGTTTCTATGTGTGGATTTTCTCTGTATCTTGTAGAAATGTTGGGGTGTTTTCTTCTGCCATATGGCTCGTGGCCCGCGAGCCAACTACTTTAGCTGTATTTTACCTTCATTTTTGATGAGGTGGTTTAAATTTCGTTTCACTTCGTGTAGTGAATTCCACAGTAGTTTTCTGATTGTTGTTAAAAATGACTTAACATATTACACGGATATTCAATAAAATGTTTTATTTCCGGTTGATGTTGCCGCCTTTTAACTCTTTTTCTTACCTAGCTCTGGTGGTGAGTCAATGGCCTATTGACTTTTGGGGCCTGCCAGAAACAGTGGCAGCTAAACAAAAGCTTGCACTGAATGCCAGCCTCTGAGTCATGTCTATGAATACAGAAATGGCTGAAGGGAAAACAATGGCCAGAGAGGATTTGGCCATTACTGCTGAGTGTTCCTGGGCACTGTCATTCTCAACATGTGTTTCTTTGTTTTTGTTTATGATCGATTCATCTGGCACACTTTCGCGCTTTCTGCTTTGCCCAAAACGTATTTTTCACTCCGGAGTCTAACTCAGTCACATACCTTCTCTCCAGAGCGGGACTAAAAACAAGATTTTTAAAACCCTGTTTTCAATTTCCCTGCCTACTGTAATGGCTAGTGGAAGCAAGTAAACATCTTTCCTCCACTGAATTCAACATTTACCAGGTGCCTACTGTGTACCATGTTCTTACTGAACACTGGAAATACAAAAATGATGTAATAAAATACACTTCCCCCAAAGAGTCCACAGTCTCTGAAAGACATGTAAATACACTTTCACAATACACTGTGATGTGTACTTAAAAGCAAATGCCTTAATTTGGCTCAGAAAGTTCGTGTTCTGCATCCTAGCGAAATGAGTAGCGTCTGGGGTCTTAAAAGCTTGCTAGCGGCCATCTAAGGACAACAATTGGTCTTTACTCATCAGCAACAAAAGACTAAGAAGGTAAATAAAATCACAGAGAAGAAAAAAGTCTACAAGACTGATAGCCTACACAAGTCACAACTTCAACTACCCTGAGCCCAGAAGAATTAAATGGTGCCCGTTTATCACTACTGACCAATCTGACCAGGGCTGCAATAGATGATCCTGGTTAGAATGGGAGAAAAATGCAGAACAAACTGAAATTCTTAAAAATGGCCAGACTAACTGGACCACTGAGACCAGAGGACTCCCTGAGATTATATTTAAACCGCACTGAGATACTACTTAAACCTTGAACCAAAATTATCCCGAGATCACCTTTCAACAGAAAGAAAAGTGACACACAAAATAAAGGACATTGCCTATTAAATCGGTGCTCTACTGAAAAAACATCTGTATGAATCCAAAAGGTCAACACTTAATCAAAGCAAAGATGAGAAGATAAGGGGGTAGGGAAACTAGAGTACTGGAAATGGAACAACCAGAACACAATTAATGAGAATGTTGACACAATGCGAAAAATGAAACTAATGTCATTGATCAATTTGTGTGGAAACTGTCAAAGAGGAACCTAACTTGCTGTGTAAATTTTCACCAAAAACACAATAAAATACTATTTAAAAAAAAAAAAGCAAATGCCTTGGGTCCCTGAAAACTTTCACAAGCCCAATCTTAGTGGACGCCATTCAGCATGAGGTATTTATCCTTTGGTTGCTAGAAGCATTGCTTGCTGACATCTCACAGCTGTGTCCCTCTGACCTTTACCAAATGAAGCTGCCTCACTTAAGGTATGCACCCTCCCCAGGGGAGCCCACATTCAATAGTCAGGGCAGGATATCTCTGTAGTACCATCTCAGCTTCATAGCCCCAAGGGATTAGTTGAGAATGCTTTTGCAACTGCATTTCACTTTAACTTTGCCTCTGCTCAATCACTTTTCCTCATTACTTTTAGAACTCCTCAATAAAACCCCTGCATGCATAGCTCCATCTCAAAATCTGTTTCCTGGGGATCCCACCTTACAACACCATTCTTTAGGAGAGGATATATCAAGAACTACCACTCATCTGTCAGTGTGTGGTACTGTGGTGGCTTGTGTGTTGCTATGATGCTGGAAGCTATGCCACTGGGATTGCAAATATCAGCAGGGTCACCTATGGTGGGCAGGTTTCAGCAGAGCTTCCAGACTAAGACTAGGAAGAAAGGCCTGGCAATCCACTTCCAAAAATTAGCCAATGCAAACCTTATGAATCACAATAGAATATTGTCGGATATAGTGCTAGAAGATGAGCTCCCTAGATTGGAAGGCACTCAAAATACACGGTGGCTGCAACAATGGACCAAGACGGCAACTATTCCAAAGACGGTGCAGGACCTGGCAATGTTTGGTTCTGTTGTGCATGGGGTCACCATGAGTCAGAGCCAGCTTGACGTCAAAGAACAGCAACAACAATATGAAGAAAGTTTGCTAGAGGCGGTAACAGAGCAGTCCTAAAGGAACTGGTAGGAATTATCCAAACCAGGGAGTGAGCAAGACTGCTGCAAAATTTATCCCGTATGTCAAGACTTCAAGTTTACCCATGATAGGGTCTTTGACAGCTGGCTAGCTCATACTTCTTTCAGCCAACTATATTAATTACTGCCAAATAGGGACTGAGCCAAAACTGCTTTAAAAGACCACTTAATTACTATACACTCTGAGGAAGCCATTGGCAAAGAGTTCCCCTAAGTGTAAACTGAGAAAAGGAAATTTACAGCCCACTAAGTTTAGATTTTTTTTTTTAAAAATCAACATTATAAATACAGTTGTTTAGTTTTCAGTGGGGGATGAATTTGTTTTTCTTAAACAGCTCTTCAAATTAGCTCCAAACTTATTTACAGAGCATTACTGAACAAATTCTGGAAAAAAAAAAAAATCATCTCATCCTTTATTCAAAGTCTGTTTTCCCAAAAGGTTCGTGGGTCTAAGACACATACACTTAGGATATTTGAGGATATTTACTAGATGTATTAGGAAAACAAAATCACTCCAGGTGTTTCAAAGAGGGAATTTAATAGAGAAAAAAGCCCATATAGGGTGGATTAAAAAAGCAAAGTGAAGACAGTGGGTGTAACCTAGGGACTAATAAATACAGCCCCTAAGGCTGGAAGAACAAAATAGAAAAGATAGTGTTAATGGAGCCCAGAATTATAGAGGATCTTGAACCTTGTGGGCATTGCCATGGGGCTCCATGGTGCTGGGACCACCCAAGGGTATCAGGTGCTGGTTCTGGGACCAAGAAAGAGGGTCCACTTTAAAGATGCGGAACTGCCAGAATACTCTGATCCAGCAGCTGCTCACTATTGCTAGAGCGAAGCCAACAGAAGCTGGAAGCAGGAAGAGGATCCCTTCTCCTCTCCTACCTTTTTGTCTGCACCAGTGCCTCCACTGGTAGAACCTAATCAGAATCAGCTGGTAAGAGAGTCTAGGAAAGACAGTTCGCAGGGTCTGAGATCCCACCCTCCAAATACATAGCAGAGCACAGAAGGTTGAGAGCAAGGGCTGAGAACAAGCAGACAAATGACCAACACATTAGGAAACCTTTTACCAGCTGCATACACTTTTTTCTAAGTGCTTTCATTTCTTCTTGGAGGACGCAGGTGCTCCTATCTGAGCCACGCAAGTCATCCCACACCTGATGAAACATTTGCATAGAAATCGCATTCTTATTCTATTTATGCAGACAGTTTACTGTTATAGATTTGAAAATTCCAAACCGTGATTGCATTTATCCTCTCCCTGCAACACATCTTTATTATATATTCACAGGACTCTTTGATGTTTAGCAACTGATTTAAGCTGCACACAAATCTCTACCATAAAACAGTCAGATGGTGACTTTGGAATACGAAGGTAAAAATGCAGGAAAATAAAAATGAGAAATAGCCTGGTACTAAATGTACAAAGAAATGTTCCAAAGCATACAAAGTAATAATTATGCAGAAGGAACCATCAAGACACAGCAGTAATGAAAACACCATGCCAACCTGCTGATGATTTGTGTGATCTAAGTTCTGAGCCCGTCTATAAGTTACCTGCATTTTAAAATCTGCATTTCAGTTACATTTATTTCTTCACCCTCCGCCACTAATGCACATCCCCAGGTTCTCACATTCATCCTTCTGACAGCAACCATACAGCCAGCAAAATCTCTTCCCCCATGCAAAGTGTACTTGTCCCTGCCAAGGCATGCACAAGGTTAAAAGACATTCTATACTAAACAAGTCAAGACTCACTTCCTTCTCAGCTGTCCACTCTAGCTCTCTTGCCTTCCTGCCTCCACTGGATTAGGAGTGCAGAACAAAGATTTGACACCCTTTATAGGCGGGAGTAGCCCTAGTGGCACAGTGGTTAAGAACTCGGCTGCTAACCAAAAGGTCGGCAGTTCAAATCCACCAGCCGCTCCTTGGAAACCCTAGGGGGCAGTTCTACTCTGTCCTATAGGGTCACTATGAGTCAGAATTGACTCAACAGCAATGGGTTTGGTTTGGTTGTTGGCAGGACTATTTCCGTTGTGAGTAGAAGAAACCCAACTCAAGCTGGAATGGAAAGAGAGAGAGAGAAGCTATCAGCTCACTTAACCAGGAAGTTCAAGAAGGGGTGATTACATTCAGGAATAGCTATATTAAGGGCCTCAAACAATGTCATCCTTTCCATCTTCCTATTCATCCTATTCATATTCTCTCTCTCTCTCTCCCCCACCCCAAATTCTACTATTCTGAGTATTGACTTCATTGTCAAGTTTCAGTGTCTCCACGTGGCAGCACAGATGGCCCCTGTTGTTGCCGTTGAGTCAATTCTGACTCATGGCAATGCTAGCACTTCCAAATTTATATTCTTTCAGCTTAGCATGCTCCCAAAGATTGCTTCTTTCACAATAGCTTCATCAAAATTTCCAGATCCAATATACCCAAAAGAATTGAAAGCAGAGACCCAAACAGATGGTTGTACACCATTGGCATTATTTACAATAAACAAAAGGTAGAAACAACCCAAGTGTCTATCAAAAGATAAATGGACAAATGAAATGTGGTACATACATCCAATGGAATATAGGGAATGAAGGGAAATGAAGTCCTGATGCATGCTACAACATGGATTAACCTTGAAAACATTAAGCTGAGTAAAATAATCTAAACACAAAAGGACAAATATTTTATGATCCCACTTATATGAAACATCCAGAATAGGCACATACATAGAAACAAAAGTTTATTAGTCACTACTAGGGGCTGGGGAAAGGGGGAATG